AAATATTGTCTAACCATCATAGACCCTTTTAGCAAGTGGTTAGAAGCCTTCCCCACCCGAGATTGCACTGCTGAAACCATGGCTAGGATTCTCTTTGAGCAAGTCTTCAGTCGCTGGGGTCTCCCTCACACATTCACCATAGATCATGATTTAGGCAGCCATTTCACTGGTGAAGTTATGAAAGCCTTGTGCTCCGCCTTAGGCATAAAGCAAAGATTTCATATAGCTGCTCAACCCCAAAGTTCAGGACACATAGAGAGGACCAATCGAACATTAAAGGAGGCAATGAGGAAAATGGTTAGAGCTTCAGGCAAGGATTGGGACGTAAAGCTCCCCATAAGCCTCCTGGCTCTCAGAGGAACTGTAGCCACACATGGCTTTACGCCACACCAGGTCATGACAGGTCGCAAAATGGTCATGCCAGAAACCTTCTGGATTGACACCGCCCTCCCTTCGGAGCTGGAGTCAGTGGTTCTAAACCATGAGTGGATGGCAACTCTCTTAAAGAGCGTCCAGCAGACTCACAGGATGGTAGCTGAGAAATTGGGACAAAACATGAGAACCATGGATAAAAGGTTAGGATAGGTTAGAAACCCCCAACAATGGGATATAGGGCAGAAGGTAATGTATAGGAACTTCTTTAAACATCTGACTGCAAAATGGCTGGGACCTGTAGACGTGGTTGAGAGAGTGTCCCCCGCTGTGTACCAAGTTCGCATCCCCAGTAGGCATGGGACCAGGCTGAAGTACTTTCATGCATCCCAACTTAAGGAATGGAAGGGAGACCTGACCCCTGTAAAACCAGTCAGGGCGGAGCCCGATCCAGTGCCAGTTATTGATTTGTCGGAGACCTTTGTGAGTCTCTTCCCCACATAGGTAGGTAGTGAGACGCCTCTCTGTTTCCCTACAGGGACAAGGGATGGCACAGAAAGCCTGGATGTTTGGAACTCTGTTATTGTGGATGGCAGCAAGGATTTGCGCTGACCTATATCCAACTCGCTTCACAACAGATTGGCAATATAACATAGAGGCTAAATGCCATTGGGTCACCCCATATCCAGGATTGATGGAAGTGGTAGATTCCATAGGCAGTGCAAGGACATGGTTTGATAAAGGACTCCCTGTGTTGCTAAAAACCCGGATTTATGTCACCAAAAGGAACACCTTAGCTTCTAGAGTGTACATGTTTGGTCCCCAAGAATTCACATGGGTAGAGGTTGACGCAGGACCCCTCCCCCTTCAGGCAGAGAACTGGTGGAGGCACCGTTTTGATCCCCCTCATAGCAAGGTGCCCTCCTCCTTCCACACCCTCCTCACTATAAACTATCTATGTCACCCCACATGGGAGTGGAGAACTAGGCTTTTCCGCTGTAGCAACTTCATCCTCACCCCCACTAATTGCACCATAACCTGCAAACAAATGATGTGCCCCAATATTCCTCCCAAGCTCCCCGCCATGATCCAGGAGCCTTCCATGTATATTGGCAATGTAGTCATTAGGAGAGACATAGCCCTGTACACATACACCGAGATCCAACCCATAGTGACAAATTTGAAGTTAAATTTAACTGCAGTGAATGTAGGACGGACTATCCCCGCTTGTCGCCCCTATTTAAAAGCAGCGTGGGCACAGTGAGAACAATTGGAGGAAAAATGGCATAATTTGATGCACCCACTTTTTAGAAGCAAGCGAGACCTAGGAAGCACAGTGCTAGGAGGCCTTGGAACTGGAATAGGAGTTTTAAATGCAGTAGACACAGAAGTCATAGCAAACAAATTGGGATTGGTTGGATCTCGCACCAAGGAATTAGGAGTATCCATTGCTTCTGGACTAACTAACGTGGCCCAAGGCGTGGACATGATTGGTCATCTGCTACCACAGTGGGTAGGCATAGAAAAGGAAATCATCATAGACATCGGGAACTCTCTGAAGTCAAGAATTTATAACTTATCCATAGCTATCCAATGCACCCAAATTCAAAGGAGCTTGGTGGCATTTGCCTCACAATTGATCCAGGGATCTCTAATGAGATTGAGCCACCCAGAGATTATGGTGTTATTTAAAAAGAGATATCCCGACCCCTTTCAACACCCCACAGAGTTAGCGAAGGTAACTGGTGCATTATGGGAAGACATGGTACTTCACATTGGCATTTATCATGAAAAGATATGGAAGCCCAAGTTGTTTACCCAGCATCCCACATAGGGCTCCCTCTGGCTGAAAGTAATGTGACCTTGATGCCAGAGCACATTTTACATTGGACTAATGGCACCCATTTGTATGATTTGGCCGGGTGCGTAAAAACGCAG